AGGCGTGGGGGGGGCACAGCTGCCCCAGGCCAGCAAAACCTAGTAATAGCGGGCGCGGGTCAAAGGCCACCCGGAAGTATGGGCATGCGCACACGGGATTTCCGCCTGTTCCACCTTGCGCGCATGCGCGCTACCCCCGTTTCCGGTTGCGCACTGCGCATGCGGCCGGAGGAGCGTGAGAGCGCTGCCCCGCCCCTGGAGTAGTGCTGCCGCGGAGGCTGCCGGGAGCTGAAGTCCGGCCGCAGCGGGACCGGAACAGGAACCGGAAGTCAGGAAAAGTTGCGGGAGAGAGACAAAAAAAATCTCTCTTACTTCCGGGGCAGTGGTAGTGACAGAGCGATCCCGGCATGCCCGGCGGCGTCGCCCGAGTGACGGGAATCTGGACCGTAGCCATGGGAACGAGTCTCACTGGCGAGTGTTGCCATGGGGACAGGGCACCCGGGTAGGGAGGAGGAGCCTGGGCCGTTGCCGTGGGGACAGGGCAACCACATGGTGGGAAACCTCGTTGCCATGGGGACGGGATGCCTGGGTGAGGGATCTGGTTGCCATGGGGACAGGGCACCCACAGGAAGGAGGGAACCTGGGACGTTGCCATGGGGACAGGGTAGGCACTGGCGGGAAATCTCGTCGCTATGGCGACGGGATGCCCGGGTCAAGGGGGAATCTGGTTGTCTACGGGAGGGCGGGAACCTGGGGCGTTGCCATGGGGATGGGACCTGGTTACCATAGGGATGTGGGCGGGGATCTGGATGCTATAGGGAGGGGGTCGCCTGGGGCATTGCTGTGGGGACAGAGGCGGGGGGGGGGGGGGCTGGGGCATTGCCATTCACATGTGCATATCTATGTTTTCCAAACAAAAATAAAAAGGCAATCCCTGCCGGGTGAGCGACATCCAGCGATCCGCACCTCGCAGCAGGATGCGGCCCCCAGCCCCCCTCTCCCTGCAGGAGAGGATCCCGGCCCGCCAGGACAACACCCCCGGGGGAAGGCTGGGCACGGCCCGATCGGGATCGGGATCGGGATCGGGGCCGGGGAGAGAGCCAGGCCCAGGCCTGCCCCCCTGGAGCCGCCCCCGCCCCTTCTCCAGGGCACCCTGGGGACCCGCATCCCTGCCCTGGGCCCTGGCCCCGCTCTGACGCGGTGGAGGCACCTGCCCCTCCCCCCGGGGCTTGACCCCCCCAGGAGCCGCAGCGGCTTGCCCGGGGTTGGGGCTGGCCCCCATCAGCCCTGGGGCAAGATGGCGCCGACAGCGAGGGGTGTCCCACAGCCAGCAGCCCTGCTGCTCTCCCCTCCTGTCCTTCCCCTTGCCGGGGGCACACGGGCTGGCCCTAGAGCGCAGCATTTAATTATGCGTCTGCTGCCCCCCCGCTGCGCGGCAGCCCCTCAGGCCCACTGCTACCGAGCTACAGCCCGGCTCCGCCCTGCAGCCCTGGCGCTGCCCCGGGCCGGAGCCGGAGCCGGAGCCGGAGGGAGGGGGGGCCGGCTGGCAGCAGCGGGAAGGACACAGGGTGCAGACAGTGGCGAGGGCTGGGCCTGTTCTGGTTCCCAGCTCCACCTGGCACCAGGAGCAAGGGGGCGCGGGAGCCAGGTGAGGTGGCTGGGGCTCCCGGGACCAGGGCGCAGACGTGCTTGTGCTGGGCAGCCCGTTCCAGCCCCGGGAGGCAGAGCCAGGCCTGCAGCCCAGCACCAGCACTTGCCTCCCCCCGACCCAGGAACCCACCACGGTGCCAGTGCTGCCTGCTCCCGGCCAGGCTTTATTGAAGAAACCTCTAAACAAACCAAGCAGGGTGGGGCAGGCAGCCCTGCTGCGCCCCCCACACAGGATCCAGGCCAGCACCAGGCCCCCAGGGCAGAGGTAGAGGGCATCATGCCAGCCGGGCCTGGGTCCTCCCTGCACCGACTCCGCTCCCGCCCAGGCAATGGTCAGTGTAGCTCAGGCTGCTCCTGCGCCTGCCTGCGGATCAGCTCGGCGTAGAGGCCGCCCCGGCGCAGCAGCTCTGCATGCGTTCCTGTCTGGGGGGCACGAGCACAGGTCAGGTCCCTGCACCCCTGCCCCTGCCCCGAGCCCCCAGCTCGTCCCCCTGCTCACCTCGGCGACGCGCCCGCCGTCTAGCACCACAATGAGGTCGGCGCCCTGCACGGTGCTGAGGCGGTGGGCGATGACTAGTACGGTGCGGCCAGCGGCGGCCCGGTCCAGCGCCTCCTGCACTACCCGCTCTGACTCAGCGTCCAGCGCGCTCGTGGCCTCGTCCAGGATCAGCACAACGGGATCCTTGACGAGCGCCCGGGCAATGGCTATGCGCTGCTTCTGGCCCCCCGACAGTGTCACGCCCCGCTCGCCTGCAGGGGAGGGAAGTAAGGGTCATACCTGGGACCCCACCGTGACCAGGTCTCCCCGCCCCTACACTGGTCTGGAGCCCTGCATTCCCCCCATGGGCTCTGCCCGCCCCGCTCAGCCCCAGGGGAGCATGGAGGGGCCGGGGAGGGCGCTGGGGCATCACCCCCACTCACCCACGATGGTGTCATAGCCCTCGGGGAAGCTGCGGATGAAGCCGTCGGCGTTGGCACGCCGGGCCGCGGCGTAGACCTCAGCGTCGGAGGCGCCGGGCTTGCCAAAGCGGATGTTCTCCATCACAGTCGTTCCAAAGAGCACGGGTTCCTGCATGGCCGGGAGCCGGCGCCTCAGGGCCAGCCCCAGCAGCAGGGAGCATTGCCCCACACTGGTCCCAACGCCCCCACAAGGGAGCGCAGCCCGGCGCTGCCCCCAGCCCTGCCACCCCTCACCTGGCTGATGAAGCCGATGACCTGCCCCCGCAGCCACAAGGGGTCCAGGCTGCCGAGCTCACAGCCGTCCAGCGTCACCGTCCCCTGCGTGGGCTCGTAGAAGCGCTCCAGGAGCGCTGCCACCGTCGACTTCCCTGCAGGGGGAAGGCATCAGCCACGCCGTCGGGTCACCATCAGACCCCCACCCCGGGGCCCTCGAGCACAGCCCTGGCCGCACCTCCGCCCGAGGGTCCCACGATGGCCACCGTCTTGCCGGGCGGAAGCGTGAGGCTGAGGTCCCGCAGCACCTGGTAGCCGGGACGTGTCGGGTAGCTGTGTGGTGAGGACAAGAGCAGGGGGGTCAGGGCCTGGGGTGCACACTCCTGCACCCCAGGCCCTCCCTGCCCCGTGGGCCTCACCTGAAGGAGACGCCCTGGAAGCAGATGCAGCCCCGCAGCGCGTGGCTGGGGATCCGGGCCCCCCCGCACAGAGGCACGGCCGGCTCCAGGGTCATGAACTCGAAGACGCGTGCGCCGGCGCTGAGGCCGCGCACCACCTGCGGGCACAGGGTCCGGGGGTCCATCAGGCAGCCCCAGGCCATGGCCTGCATGTCCCCGGCAAGCCCGCGCTGGCAGTGCTCGTACCGGCAGGGCCGGCTTCGCCCCGTGCCCGGCTCCAGGGCCCCCCAGCGTACCTGCCCAAAGAGGACGGAGATGTTGGCCATGGACCTGCCGAGACACAAGGCAACAGGCTCTGCTCAGGGCTGGGCGCGGGCAGCACAGCCTAGCCCCCCAGGGCCTAGACCTGCTCTCGGGGCTGGATGTGGGGTGCGCGCCCGCTCCAGCGCCGCTCTGACCTCTGCACCGTCTGCGACGCCACGAGGAAGGACATGAGGTCCCCGGCCGAGAGCTCCTCCCCTGCCAGCAGGGCACCGCCCGTGAAGATGGTGCCCAGCACGATACCTGCGGGCACAGGGCAGGAGTGGGGTACAGGCAGGAAGCGTCCCCCACGGCCCGCTGGATTCGTGTCACCCTGCCCCATCCCAAGCAAGGGGGCAAGGAGCCCAGCCACTCACAGTTCAGCACCACGTTGGACAGGCCCTGGAAGACGGCGATGCCCACGCCCAGCCGCTCGTTCAGCTGGCCCGACCGCTGAACCTCGGTGCAGTACGCCCTGCGGGAGAGTGATGCGCTGATTGATGCCCTCCCGGCGGGAAGGGACCGGCCCTTGCTAGCTGGGGGCCGGGCTGCGGCAGGGATACGTGGCCTGGTCGAGAAGCCCAGGCAGGTTGGGCACACCCCGCAAGGGACAGGACTCACTCCAGCTGCCTGTCCTCCATGGCAAAAGCCCGCACAGTCCGGACGTTCCCCAGCACCTCGTCCGCCACCCCCGTGGCCTTGGCCACCTGTGGGGAGAAGGTCACGTGGCCGCTGGAAGGTCCCCGGGGAGAGAGGGCAGCCCCGCAGGGCCACTGTCCCCACCAGGAAGGTATCTGCAGCCTCAGCACCCGCTCCCACGTGTCCCACCAGCACGGACTGCAGGAGAGGGGAAACGTGGCAGGGCTCTGGGTGCAGGGAGACGTGGGAGGGCTGGAGCAGGCAGGTTGGGAGCTGGGCAGAACCCCCTGGGTGGCCGAAGCGGGCCAGGCAAGGCAGAGGCGGAGGGGCTGCGGCGTTACCTGCTCCTGGGCCTGGCGGGACAGGCCACGCAGGAAGGAGCCGATGAGGGCACCGGCGCCCACCAGGCTGGGCATCACCACCAGCAGGAGCCCCGTCAGCTTGGGCGAGAGCAGGTAGAGGGAGGCGAAGCAGCCCACGATCTGGGTGGCGCTGCGCAGGCCCTGCGGCACACGCCGGTGTCAGGGACCCGGCACGGCCCAGCCCCCGCTGGCAGCCGAGAGCTGGGGAGGGCCCGGGCCAGTCCCCGCAGCCTCACCTGGGAGACGACGAGCTTGAAGGAGGACTTGAACTCCTGCACGTCGGCCGTGAGCCGCGTCACCAGCTGCCCCGTGCGAGTGGCGTCAAAGAAGGCCACGTCCTGCCTGCGGGGAGACGCGGGCTGGGAAACGGGGCGCGCGGGACGCACCCTCCCCGCCGCGGCAGTCTGCACCCCACTCCCCCCACCGCCCCCCGGGGCAGGGCTCACCGCAGCAGCGAGGAGAAGAGCGCCGTCCGCATGCTGCTGGCCACCTGCTCCCCGACCCGCGACAGCAGCACGATGTAGCCGAAGGTGAGCAGCCCCTGCGGGGAGAGCCCGGGGGGCTCCGCGTCCC